TGGAAATAAGGCGTCGCAGCTACAGTGTGAAAATTTAGCTGCCGCCGGCAACTGTTTTGCTGCGGGTATGGCCATGAAAGTGTCGTGCAAGCTGCCTTGCCATTGTGTGCAATACAGTCGGTACGTGTCGCTCTGCGGGACTCTCAGCAATAATCCATCAAGAACTAGCAAAATGGACAATTATGAATTTCGTGCATCTTATCAGCTTTATTTATGTAGAATATGCATCGCATTGCAGGTGTAACTCCTATCTGTGACTGTCACACGGCGTGCGTGCCGGCCTCCACTACAGCGTTTCATCATATTTGACGTCGATGGGTGTTTTCAGGTGGATACGGAATACTTTGTCAAGACGCCAGGGGCTCCAGAATCGCCAGCTGCTCTGCGCTGGATGCACATCTGGCTTTCAGCTTTACTGCTGGGCTGCTTGTTATTTCACTACTACAAGCCTTTCCGTCGTACTTGCAGCTGGGATAGAGAATTCAGAGGTCATCCTTGTTGCCAGTCAAATTCATCAATTCCTTTCGAGCCGGTGCTATTGGAGGTAGACGGTAATTTGGGGGCTTCGAAAGGAACTACTTTTCATTTGCCGCAGCCACCACTTAGCATTGCCGAATATTGGCATCCGGCCGTTGGGGCTGGCCATCCCTAATTTGAATCCTTTGGTTTGCTTTGCCCAATGTTGGCACTCGCCCGTCTGGATTGGCCATTCCTAGTTTGTATCCTTTGGTTTGCTATGCAGATGCTGCATGGGAGTGCAAGCACATTCAATTGCGGACGTCCTTGCGTGCTGTGGAACCCACTGCTTTTTAATGTTGTTCTTTTGGTTATCTCTCGCACTGGCAAGACGTGCGAGCTGCTTCTCGCTACCATCATGTAGGACAGGACGCGCTAGCTGCTTCCCGCAGCCGTCATGTAGGAACTTTTTCTAACTGACTCTGAGCTATCCAGCTCGTCCCGCCCCTCACCGACCACGGCAGATCAGATACGCCTACTTCAGCACGGGGGGCTTACGGCAATATGGCAGAGAAGCCTACTTTAACTTTTGCAATTTGCCTTTCCCGATATATAGCCCACACATAAGCCGAATTCTACTCACGTAGCACATTACTCCCGGGTAGTTTCCGCGGGACAAGAAATGCGAAATCTAGCATATAAAGTGGCTATGCGAGGAAGCTAATAGAGGAAAGAAGTGAGCCCAACAACCTGAGAGCAAACTTTCGAGCTTGGGCTCCAGCAACTCTACATGCGGCTATGCATATGAGTTCATGAAAGGGTTTCAAGAAAAGCGGCTTCCCTCGCTTCCCACGCGTACAGAGAGCTGAGTATGTGCTGGCTCAATCTGACCCATGCAAGGTTCTGAAAAAGCTCGCATTATGAAACCAAATCTTCCAATAGAAGCGTCCCTTACCGTGACTGATTCATTGCGCGCGGCACCCCAGACAAGCAGTGCAACTTGGGCCAGTGTTGTGGTGGATGACACTCGTGCGCCTTTGAGGAAAATACATGCTTCACGGGATTTTGAAACAAAACAGTGTCATTCCTTCACCTTGTTTCCACCAAATGTACCGACTCCTAGAACTGCAGCTGCGGAGAGGAAAGTGTAGCACGGTTTGTCCACAGTAAGCGTTTGTGTGGGGGTATGTGTGCTTGAAGGCTTGCAATGTCTTAGAATTCGCTCAACCGTTGGGTATACTGCTCATATGCCCATCGGGAATGGGCATGGGGGCATTTGCTTGTGGTGTGGCCTGTTCCCAAAAGCCAGAGGTGCTTCCCGTCATCTCTCCAGGCATCACCAACCTCATGGAATTGGCTTCTCGGGGCAGTGAGGAGAGATGGACGGCCTCTCATAAATTCCACCACTCTGCCACAACTTTCCGCAGTTAAGCTATGCCACACACATGCACCCACGAATCCCTTTTCAAATGCATGGGCACTGTTGTCAATTTTTAGGTGCTTGAAGGGCTTCGAGTTGCCAGTATGCAGATGCTGCCTCGGCGCTTGCTGCGCTGAGCAGCATGGGGAATGAGACGATAAGAGGGCTTAAAAAGAAGCCCAAGTTTGGCAACTTTCGACAAGCAAACAAATGAAGAGAAGTCTGTCCTGGAGTTGAGTGCTGCAGATGCCAGCCTAGGCCTAGTGGGTTGAAGCATTTCGGCAACAGCAGATGGGTTGAGCCCAAGCAGCACGTGGTCAGCCAAGGTTGCTCCAGCAGCGTTCGAAAGGGTGAGACTCGCATTTACTCCAGGCGTTCAGCCACACACAAAAATGCATGATAAGGGTGCAGCAACGCTTAGAATTGTCATACTGTATGCGCGTTTCACCTTTTTGTTGCGTGGGTTATGCTTGTTCCAAATGGCAGCCAAGCAGCACAACTCACAAGCATCTGGGTGCCACAGGATACGGCACTTAACCAAGTGGAGATACAAAGAAGGGAGTGTACCAAAGCAGAAAAATTAGTAGGAAAAGACAAGCACGCAGTAACGGGCATAGACTTCTCTGCCAGTCACAAAACAACACTCTACACAGGTTGGCAGGTGTGCAGAGGTTAGCATCCAACTTAACAGTTGGGTGCTAACCTCGAGTAGTCGGCCAAACCAATCATAGTTAGCCTGCTTCTGCACCTCGGTACTTCCATTCACTAGCCCAAAATGCAAATGCATGAGCTCTGGTTTGCGAGGGAAGGCGTGGAACGCAGTCTTGCACCTGTAATGAAGATACATTGCAACATGCAGAAGACGCTTTATCGCAATCACCGGATGAATAGACTGCTGAACACGCACAGCAGGCGAGCAGTCTGTTGATCTTAGGCAATACGAAGCTTTGCTTCACCGTGATTTTGCTTGTGGGCGTGTAATCGACGCGTATGCGCCACCTGCTGTCCTTTCTTCAATAGCGCTGCAGTGTCTCCAGCATTTGAACTTTGCCTTTTCATAGCGATTCATTCATTTGCCCTGTGAATGTCCTTGAAATGAAGGGGTAACCTGAACCGGGCAATACCGGGTGGCCCTCCCGCCGGGAGCTGCTTGCCATCTCCTACATCTGACAGCCCTTCCTTCAATTGTCGCCCGTTCTGGTGTATCCCATGCACTCAATGGATCGACCCCTCAAAAACATGGTCTTCGTAAGAGGCTGCCCCGACAGACTGCACGCACTTCTCAGCTGTTTCGTGCACAGCCCGTGTCTGTAGCGTGCTGGAGTGTCTTCGCCCTTTCTTCTCGGTACGCTGATTCCAGTCCCCTTACCATGGAGGATGTAAATACGAGAGAGATCGTAGAGAGGTACACAATCTCACTGCTTTCCGTTACATTGGCGCATTGCCTTCCGAAGATTGCATGCGCGCTCTCCTCCACGGACATTCTTAAACCCATCTCCTCCCTTCTTAAGTAGGGTAGAAGAAGTGGCGGTTTTCGTCCCACCTGTCACCCCCTAGTTTCCTCTACACGGCCCAGCCGGTTGCTTATCTCCTTTCCCGATGGGGCAACCCTTCTACCCCTGCTAACTACCATCCATATGCATTCTCCGAGTTCACTGTAGAATCCCCACCAAGAACTGAAACATCTCTATTTAGTGCTCCACAGATAGCTTCTCTTGCTTACGTTTTCTTCATTCTCCCATGGCCTGTTCGGCTGCCGGCATGGCGATAAACGTATAGCTCAGCACTTGTCGGTCAGCCGCTATTTTGCGGACGCCTTCCCCAAAAGTGGTATGCTTAGGAATAGAGTACATTCCCTTGTGTTCAAATAAAGAAGATACATATAACAACAGCAGCTCTTCGGGTGCAGACAGGAGTCCCTGCATTGTTCCTGAATGTAAGCACCCCATACAAATGGACGATTGACACGGGCAGAGGCAATCTTCGTGAATTGTTTTTCTCGGCGCAAGTATTTTCGGTTGGGGGTAATGAGAATATTGCGACGATGAGCCCAGTTACTTCTCGTTTTCCCGCCAAAGGGCCGGCCTTAAGTAATCTTCAGTGTTCGACAAGGGAAAAGGCTGAACGCTGGCATTTGTCAACTCGTCTATGCACCTAGTTTTTCTTCCCGGGCACAGCGCCTCTAGGGAAAATCAGTGCTTTGCATCAGCCAGTCCCAAATATGGGCGTGAATACCTCAGCTGCTGCCTACCTCTCTTACGCATGGAATGCCATTAGGTGTAACAGCAGTCTTCGACCCGAGAGGAGTGCCGTCGTGAACTGCAACAAATCACCTACGCTCACGGAGAGAGCCCCCAAAGAGCAGCTGACCAACTTTCCGCTCTCCGGGAATCCTGGGCACAGCAGCACTAAGGCCAGCGGGTGTGGAGAGGAAGCGGCCTTTCATGAGTTGCAACACTCCGTGCTGCAACTCCTGCTGCAGGCAACTCCACATGCAGCCACACCCAAGCCGTCTTCTCACGCATGCATGGACACAAAAAAATGTTGTCTGTCACTTCAGTGGCATTCAGTAGCCAGCCTGCACCAAGGTAGAAACGCATGCAATCGCGTCTCACAGGCCATGCTACGCTACACACCATGGGGAGTCGGTATACATCTCGAGGTTAGTGGGAAGGGATAAAACAGCAGTGCAGTAGTTATTGAAGGCATGAAAAATGTTAAATACCGGATTTCCCAACAACTCGATTGCGTGTAATACTAGAAACACAGATGGTAGGCTTCGCGCCAGTTTGCAGAGCGCGGCAACGTACTTCGAACTAGCTAAGCTCCAGCATCAAGTGCACCCAGTTCTCCCAAAAGCATATATTTTTGCATTTTACTAGGTTATTTGCGAAAATTACTTCTCTAAATGTAGCGTTAATCAGCATGAAAGCTTGCAGTGAACAGCCGCAACAGCAGAGTAGGCAGTGGGTCCACTGCATGCACATAGAACAACAAGGGCACTGTTGACATCGCTTGTACTTTATCGACTACATTTTCACGGGAGGCCGGTATTGAGCTTCTGTTTGGCTAGTTGGATATCGACTTTTGCAGTGAATGTGGGTAGATTGAGAGTTTCGCAGCAATGGTCAAGAGCAGGGGCTTCAAGCCCCAGGGTCTCCAATTAAATCCAATCAAACGGGTGGCCAGTGGCGGGTGAGAACTGATGAAAATATATATTTGCATCCCCCTTTGAATCAATGACTGGTTTCTCCACTTGTCTGGCCGGCGTGCAATGCCGTGACTGCCTGATCGGGTGCGCATCTCCTTCAATGGAAGCGTAGGGGAAGTCCGGCGAAGAAGACTATTAGGGTGTTTGCTTCCCTTCATGCCCTTTCTGCTGGTCGTTTGTTGTAAACGCGTGCAGAGTAGTGCCTCGGGCAACTACGCAGGTTGCAGTATCGCGTTTCCTTGACCGTGCGTGGCTGTCACTCTTTAGGCCCTCACTTGCGGAGAAGCTCGGAAGGAATTCGCGGCCAACATGGGACCAATTGCATAAGATGCTTAAAAAGAAGGAAGCATCAAATAGCGAGTTCCTTGAGAAGTACGAAAATGAATGCTTCAGTAGAGAACTACAGGTACGACCAAGTTCTTGCATGTGCTGAGTCAGTTTGCGTCCGTGCGGAGCATTTGCTCCTGCTTTTACATTGGCTTCCGTAGTATTAAGGGATATTCGATGCCAAAAAAATTCAATCTCTGGAATAAGTTGGGTATCCGGCAACCTAGAGAATGCTGCCTGTACAGAACTTTAGAAATTCGAAAATTGAGGAACAAGAGCGCCAGCACTTGGAAGCGGTCAAGAAGGAGGCAAAGAAGCGACAGCGCCGAGACAGCTCGAGCAGTGACAGCAGTTCAAGCAGCGACGAGAAGTCTCGCAAGAAGAAGCGAAAAAGAGAAAAGGACAAGAAACGCAAGCAAAAGAAGCAGAAGAAGGTAAGGGTATGCAACCTGAGTGTATTGTGAGGGCCTATATCGTCGATTATGAACAACTTGATGCGAATCAAGTTCCATGTAGATCTTGTCTGCGGGCCGTCGCAGGCAAAGACATCGGGCCATGCCGACGAGAAAGCCACTGAAAGTGTCACGCACAACCCTTTCCGGCTTTCCACCTTCTTTGAAATGGAAAAGGAATGACGTAACAGCGTAACCATAAGTCGTCTGTCCAGGCGATCTTGCAGTTTTCTGGGAGACTACGCACCGGAGTAAATATAGTCAGGGGATACCTATTGTGTTCCATGGCATGACTGCAAGATGCCATTGGCGCAAGGGCTACCTTTTCGTTTCCGCAAGGATGGAAGTTCTGCAGTAAATTCCTACCTAGAAACCTAGCAGCGGTACCGTACGGTACCTCAGAACGCTGTGAAACGGAGCCTTCTTGCAAGCAAGGGGGGGAAGCTGTACTTGCAGAATCGCACTTTACATACAGGGATGCCGACAGATGCCACCGAAGGGCGCCTATCGGACAATTTGTAGGCAGGGTGCCCATTTTGACCGCCTCTTTAGGCAGTTTGTCCACTTGATTACGTGGAGAGTTTTTTCGAGCTGGGTAACCTGAATTTGTGTGTAGTTTGACTCCTAGTGAGTTGTAAACAACCGGAATGCCATTACGTTGTTAAAATGGCAAAATTCGTCTGAAGGCTGAATATCAGTCTCCTATTACACGAGACAGCTTGCGGGCTGTCAGTCAACGATTGGCTATGTTACATTGAACCCTAAACAACGCGCATTCACCCTCGGGGGCGTCATGCCCCCGTTGCACTGGGGAGAAACGCCACGAAAGCGATGTTCCGCTGCGGGACCCGGGTTGGTCCCCTTCCTCAGCTGCAACGGAAAGGAACACACTGCATAGTTCTGAACAGCCACTTGCGGATCCCTGAACGTGGAGGAGAAAGAAGCTTGCAAATGGGGGTTCATTTGGGTGTATAACGTCTGCTGAGGCGGATGGGCGCACTGCTGTAACAGCTGCTGCCTATGGGTGCGCTGCCTGCTGAGCTGCTCCTTGAGTTGCTGGCTTCTTGGAACAACATGGGCGCCTTGTGGCAAATAAATACGCTGGTGCTGAATCTCCCCTGCAGTTTTTAAATCCCCACAATTACCTGCTGCCGGCTGCAGATCGGCGTGCTGTCGCTCTGCCATACCTTGATGGCCCGTGGGAGGTTCACATCGCTCGTTTGTCCAGCGCCCCGCTTGTTGCTGCTGTGGTTGGTTTTTATTCGAGTCGGATTCCGGGAGCTGCCTGGTTGGCGGACTAGCTTGCGCTTCTTGTACAAGTTGAGCTGGGTGGTGGTACTGCGGGGTCGTGGGACGCTGCTGAGATAATGCTCGTAAACACTGCTGCTGCTCCGTAAGGCTTGGGACCTGGCCTTTCACGTTTTCAGCATGCCTTGCCGAGTCTGGTGATAATTTTTGCAGGGGTGCAAAGGTTGCAGCTTCTAAAGGAGGCTGGCGCCGTGCTGGTGTCGTCCGTGCCAATGGCGCCTTTCCGTCAATTCCTCTTAGCGTTTCCCGCATCCCCTGCAGCTTTTTCAAAGCCCAAGTGCCGAGTGGTGGGCTGGGCTCTAAGTGAGTTAGCCCAGCGGTAGTTTCGCTATGCGCCGTGGCCTGATTGAGAATCCCGAGTAGTTGCTGGTCCACAAGCAACAACTGATGTTCAAGATCCCTCGTTCGTTCTTGATTCGCAGCCAGCTCGTTTTGGAGTCGCATTTGCTCTTGTTCAGCGCATGCCTTGGCTTTTGCATGCTCTGCAGCAAGCAGCTGTAGCTGACGACGCTCTTGGGAAACCATGTCGAGCTCTTGCTGCACCTGTTGCCTCTCTTTGTCCTCCGTTGGCGATGAGGGTGGACTAGTATATTTGCGGCCTTTTTGTTTCAGCTCCTCTTGCAACTCTATAATCTGCCGGCGGAGAGCACCCAGCTCCTGCTTATGCTTCTGTTGTTCTTCAGAGGAACGCTCTTCAAGGTGCTTGCACCAATCGTCACTTGCTTGTACTTGCTTCTGCAGCCCCTCGACGAGGTGTATTAATTCCTGAACTTGCTGTTCTCCTCCACGGCCTAGATTGCCGCCCACCTGTTGGCACTTTTCCTCCTGTACAGCGAACATTGCAGGTGCTAGCTCAGCTTTGCCGATTTTTGAAGACCCACACGTGCACAAAGTCAAACTAGAACGGCATCAGAGCCTATTACTGACAATTCATACTAGCACTTGGGTTTCTCAACAGCAAGCGGTAGATTTTTGACTCCAGTGGACGAGGTAACATGCCTAACAGACCTCTGTTGTTGTGCCTCTTATTTGCTAGTAGTATACATGAGGAGGGCAAAGCACAGAGTAAAGCACAGTTAATTAGCTAGGCCGCAAACGGATTGCAAAGAACGTTGTTCTTTCTCATTTACATTGGGCTAGCAGTACCTAATGCCCCAATAGCTAAAACGACGACCAGTAAGCATGCATCGAGCAAGGTGCAGCTCACACATACAAAATGCTGCTGCAAAAAAGTATTAGTGCCTGGACTCTTATGACCGTCTTTGTGGGTGTGTATAGCTTACCCTGTCAGTAGTAGATTGGCGCTGTCTCTCGTGTTGATTCTGGCATGGCCGTTGTCCTGCATGAGCTCTAAGCGACAGCCACCCAAGCAAGAGAAGCCGGTGTTGGTGCGCCGCTTTTTGGGAAACACTTTCCGATACACTAGCAAGGCGCAGCGCATGGATGTCGCGACGGTGCCGTTCCAGCTGTGCTCTTTGTGCCCACACAAGCAAAACCAGCCTGAATGATTAACAACACTGTTTGTAGAGATTAACTTTACGGCGATGAGGCAAACGTTAAAGCGAGCGTACCGAGTGGTGAACAGCGAGCAAGCTGGTCGCGGGCTAAGTAAAGCGTATAGTTGGCGGTCCACTCACTTCTTTGTGAGGAGGTCTTTCTGACGCGCAGCTTGGGCGTTGATCCACCTAACAACCTTTGCTGTGAAGGAACGGTCGGGCATACCATGAGTAGGGTGTCCTTGTTGAGCGGGGCTACCTGGGGAAGGGCCTTGAAGCTCAGTTGACTCCAACGAATAGTTTTGAGGGCTCTTCGATTGCGGCTGTTCGACATCGTTTGTTAAAACTTCATGAATGCTTTCTCTTCGTCCAGTTGTGAACGCGTCTGAACTGTCACTAGTTCCACATGGGTTTTTCAGTGATTCAGTGGGAGCTGATTGAGAAGTCGATGTGATTCCTTCCTGTTCGGTACGATCTCCATGTACGGGATCGTGCGAAGGAGCCAGATGGTATTCCCCTTGCTGTAACTGGCGGTGGCGTCTCTGGCTTAGCAGTAGCTGCGCACGGGTCATTAAGCAGTCGAGCCTCCGGATGCTTGTTGTTAGGGTGCTCTTACGGTCATCTAAAAGCGAATTAAGGCGCGCCGAACAGGCTGACGGGACCAGTCCTTCCACCAGCATGCAGGAGGCCACAGAATGGGCAGACTTCGCACCGCGGTTAGCAAGAGTTTCCGCAAACCGGTGGGTTTCGTCTCCACGAACCGAAACGCTGTCATCAGGAGACAACTCTGGCTCACCAGTTAACTCTGTCGTCCGATCTGCGGTCCTTTTACCGGTGACGGGGATCCAACGTTCCTGCAGAATGCGGTTGCTCTCGTGGCCTAAACTAGGTTGGTGTAGACTTAAACTGCCGTTGCATTCTTTCTCCATAAGTGTTCTGTTGGATGCTACCACGCCGCAAACACTCGAAGGCCTTTGGGTGCTCCTCATACCCAATAGGGAGACAAGCTGTTGGGAATGTTGTGGCTTTTTAGAGGTACAGCTGCGCGAGCTCCGGTCCCTTTCTCCCCGTGCAGCAGCTGCAATCGCCGATGCAGCCAAAACTGCAGCCACGGAGAGTTCTTGTTGGCGTCGTTGGTGACGCTGGCGTTGCTGATCCTTTGACAAATTGTTTGAGGCCAAGCTACGAGTTGTTCCAGCGACGTCCGCTACGCTCTGTTGCCTGTGACTTGGGGACAGAAGCTGCCCTGCTACATCCTTCCGACTCCATTTTGCATGGGTAGCTGCGCTATCAGACCAGTTTCCATGGCTAGGCGGAGCAGTGCGACAGCAATTCCCCACAGCGCGTGCTTCGGACGGTAGCCTTGAATTGGAATTGGGAACGTGCGCTGCCTGCGAAGCCTCTGCTTTTACAGAACCATGTGAAATTTTTGAACCAGTAGGACACTGATACGCTAGCTTGTTCGTCTCACTATCGTGGAGCTCATCAGGATTTATAGATCGTTGGAGGCTGGTTGAAGCTACTGAAGGTGGGGCCGGGGCAGCCAAGGCCGCTTGAAGAGCTGCATCAGACGAAGGTAAGAAGGACCCGCCGTTGCTGCTTAGACGAAAGAGCATTACGTTACACCGATTGGCACCGGTGGAACTGACATTGAGTCCATCCGCAAAGACCTTTTCTAACGCCTGCAATGAGGTCGCAGGATTGAGCACTGCGGCAAGTTGTTGCTCCCCTTCGGCTTCGTTCTGCTCGGCAGGGCATGCATAATTCCCAGATTTGGGAAAAAAAGGCGTAACTGGAAGCCTGAGTTTGACTTCCTGCTGGTTTTCCATTATATTTATGCAGTGAAGTGGGATATGCAGAACACCAAGCAAGTCGGCAGTGCGCGGTAGCGGTGTTGAAACATTTTTCCTGTAAGTTCCGGCTTCAGAAATGAGAGAAGTAGAGCTATTAGAGTCTATGCGACTGTGGAAAACTCCCACTGTCAACACCTGCATGACGCAAAAGACACATGCAAGCTCCGTTCAATTGAAAGAGAGCGGTATGGTATGGCAGTCTGCTCAAAATAGCAGGAAATGCCGCCTGCATATAGGCACTTACAAAAAAGGATTGAATTTCGTCGTCTCTGCATGAGCTTCCCTTTTCAGCTCCTTCAATTCGTGTATCCGCATGCCGTTCAAGCACAGGGACTCCTTCAATTACTAGTGGCCCTTGACCCCAGGTGCTCGACACGAGCGTTGGCGGTGGCAAAGAAGAGAAGGCGCTATCTGGAAATTCAGAGCTAGACTGCGCAGAAGAATCAGATGAACACAGTGTGCATTGAGTGACACTGTACTTGTAAACTGCACAGTACAGGTTTGGCGTCCCGGAAGCGACTCTGCTGCCACGCCACCGCGCAGGGCCGGTTACAACGCCCCTCATCACGAGTGTCCCTACAGTCTTCGTTCTGTCGACCTGAGGGGTTCCGGGGAGCAACTGCGACCGCGTTCCTTCGAAAGACCCATTTCCGCGCTGTAGATTATGATGAAGGATCAGGTCTTCCGAATGAACGCAGCATTGGTGGTTCTGAGGAGGGGAGCTGGACGGATTCTGCGGCGTTGATGAACGAAGGGGTGTGGCCGCTGGAACGCCTGCTGCAGAGCAGAGCGCGGCTTCTGACATCGCGCGCTCAGAGCTCGAGTTCTCAGGGAGGTGACGAAGCGTGGATCAACTGAACACTCGAGTGCTAGATAGATCTACAACGCAAGGATCATTATGCACCGGGTACTTCGTATTAATTAATCGTGGATGTTGCCCTCTCCGTTGTCGATTCGGTTGTCTGGCCACTCAACATACTACCAGCCACCGCACTCCTGACCATTGGGCCATCTGGCCGTAAGAGCCCAAAACCGTGGCTGCACCCTCGTCGGTACTACTTCAACCTCCCTCAAACAAATCCAGCTTTCAGAAGAGTGAACGTTTCGAACAGGGAGGCTAGGGTGTTAGAGCTTCCGCTCCACCATCAGCGCGCTGGCGAAAAGGTCGTCGCGAGCAAACGAAGCAAGCAAAGCTCCTCTCCTCGTCTCCGTAGAGGCGACGTATAGCGAATACCGATTCGAACGGGAAATTGGAAAGAAGATAAGCAAAAAGCAACTACTGAAGTCTCGAAACTCGGCCTGCGCCACTACGCGCAGTTCTCGGGCGGCCTCACGACCGTTTCGGCCCCTTCAGACAAAGTACTGGAGAAGATGAGCTGGGGCCTTCTACGTTCTAATCATCAGCGAAAGGCAAGATATATAAGGCAATATCAATGCTTATTCCTTAATTCTAAGGGGTGAATAGGGTACACGACGAAGTGGGAGAGCGCTTCCCTCTGCAGGTGGCTTTGCAGACAGCCAAACGATCCCACATTTTCGGCCGCTTACATCCCTTAGCAATGCTCGTAGTGCTCACCGTTGTCATTTCACCCTCGAATACTTCATTCAAAACATATTTTCAGGATTTGTTCTGCTCTCCCTTGTGTGCCTCGCCTTTATGCGAAACGAACCGTGAAGCTCTTCTCCACCCGCGAGCTAAATAAGAAGTGCGCTCTTTTGTTGCTACTGGAGCTTCTGAATTGAAAAATGTCAAGAGTTAGTTTTGGAGCCAATTATCGGCTTCAACAATTGGATAGTGGGTTCTTGTCTAGAGCGCGATAATCCCTAATGCAACAACAAGGGCAGTTCCGAAGGGTCATCACTCTGGTTGTCTTCGATGACACGTCCGTGCGTTCGCTGAGACTCCGCTGCTGCAAAAGAGGCAGGCTGGCTGAACTTCAGTGCAGGAGGATCTTCGAAGCATGTTCACACCCACCGCACGATGCGGACTGAGAGAGAGGACCATAATATTGTGCTGGGGTCTCCTCTGGAAGAGGCTACACGGCTGTGGTCCTGCGCCGCCCATCTATTCAGATTGTCATGAGCTACTGAGGAGGTGCTCCCATGCAAAGAATACTAGCTTCCACAATCCTACATTATGCTGCGCTTCCTGGAGTCGCGTACTCGCACACACTTCATACACCACCTCCGTACTTCGAAAAAGCGTACGTATCTATTGTAAAGCACAGCACTGCCAAATTCGTCCCCCGACCCAGGGACGCTTACCCCTTACCTGCCAATTCTGTCCCCCTACTCTAACGAAATGGCACTATCCGGCATGAATATCTCTACACGCTGGAGTTACTGGGTGAGATGAATTCCAGCTGATGCTATCTTGATGCGCTTACAATACACAAGGGACTTCTTGTGGCGCGCGTTACGTTGCTGGGCCAAATTTGTTCGCTATGAGCCGCACGCACAGGAAACACGAAAGTACAACAGCGAATACCCAAATATTCGCTTCAGATCACAACTATGACTGACACGAGACAAACGAGCAGCATTAAGCTCTCCTCCAAAATTCACTGGATGTGGAGCCGTATCCTTGAAGGGAGGCGGCCAGCCAAAAGAGCAGCAGGCGGAAAACCTCACTGCAGTACAAATGGGAGCAAGAAACACCCCACGACAATGCTCTAGCTCTCCCCGGCTCACACTAGGTAGGTATGCGTTTAGGTGTGCAAGGCAGAAAGAGGGCAACTCAGCAAAATACGAAGGCACCAGCCAGCTACTTGATAGAAGCTATTCGGCGTTTTCTGACAGCACAAGCTCCTCCAGAGCTTGCCGCACCAAGTAAAGCAACACCTCCGTTGGCAAAGAAGCATTAGTGGAGCCTGAGCAGCCTGCCTTCTGATTTTTTGTGACATTGAAAGAGGCATCCGGCGATACCCTGCTCGCTACCAGTCTAGTTGCAGTCTCCACTCCCAAGTCTCCTCCTGGTCCAGTCGTATATGAGCTCGGGAGGAGTACACTCTGAGGGGGCTGATACGTTGCAGAAGAGGTGCGAATGCCATCGAAAGAGTCGTCGCTGTTGCTGACGGACAAAGAGGTCGAAGCGCTGTCTACACTCTGTAACCGGGCCCTTGTGGCGCTTCTGAGAACAGCTGTGTGGGTGTATGTCGAAGTTGTCTCCTGTTCGTCCGAATCGTCGTCTTCACCGCTTGCATCGCCTGAAGCGACATTACTTTCAGGTAAGAAGAATCGGTTCTTCTTAGGCGTTTGCACCTGTGAAACCACGCTTGCCGATGGCACCCTAGGGTACCGCCTACCTACGCTGTTTCTTCCGGACCTGCGATCTCTTTGCCAACGTCTTTTGGGGGCAGAATGTGCTGTCTGTCTGTCTGCGGCAGGGACTGTACCAACCCTGGATCGTCTCGAAATCTTGGTTCGTTTCCGGTGCCCTTTCGACGGCACCTCGGCTACCTGGCTGCCGCGGCGCTGACTCCGCTGCGTAACAGAAGTTCGCTGGCGATGCTGCAAAGTGTTCATGCGCCTTCGGTCGACCCGTGAATGTCGAAATCCAGTCCTCTGTCCTCCAGAGTTGCTGCTGCTGCTGTCGCTCCCCGAGCGACGTCTCCGCAACTCCAGCCTAGTATCCGTACCACTGCTGGGAGCATCGTCCGTGAGGGTATCCGTTACGGGCGTTGAGTATCCTGACCCCCGTTCCGCCGCGTAGTCAGTATCAGGCTCAGAAGAAGATCCGTAGTACGCCGAAGGCACTGGCGAATAACGGCGCCACTGCGGAACCGTGCCCTCGCTCGCCTCCAACGTATCCGTACGTCGCCATCTTTCATATTTGGAGGCATATCTTGGCTCTAATTGATGCAGCGTGTCCTGGTTGGAGCCGGCATCCGAGAATGCCAGAAATGGATCGTAGCTTCCCGAGCCGAACGAAGCCTCACGTTCGTTTGGCTGTCCGGTGCTGTCATCGAACAGCAAGCTGTCCTGGTCAAAGGCACCACTGCTGGATCCATGGTATGATTCCTCTTCACTTTTGGTATGAAACGAGTTCTGAAGGCGGTTGGACACGTCCGGTGCTCGTGAAGCCCGAATTCGTAGTCGTCTGGGCGATCGTGGAAGAAATTCATCATCCCAAGAGAGCTGCATAGAAGCATCACTCTTTGCCAACTCATAGCTCGCGCGAAACAGCTTTGCCCTCAAAGGATCTAGTGCGGAAGTTAACGCAACGAGCAAAGCTAACGCCGCCAAGCCTAGCCAATAGGTGCCAGGCTTAGCCACGGCGTGGGGCCGACTGAACTTTTTGCCGCCAAGCGATTCATACTTCTTATATGCACCCTCTGCGCCAAAATGATGACTCGGCCTGCCCTCAGATAAATGAAAACGCTCCACAGGAGTAAAATTAGGACGTGCTGATGTGACTGAGGAAAGTGAAGGGGAGGTAGAGACCGTCGCTGTGTTCCACACAAAAAGAGAACTCTCCGTTTCACCCGGTGAAGCGGCATCGCTCTCAATGGAGATGCTCCCCGGAGGATATGCACGGCTCTGCAACTCATTGTTGATCCTCGATACTGGCTGGAGCTCCCCAAAAGAAAAGCTTAGTCCATCGACTTCGTTAAAAGCAGATGGCATCCTCTAGCTGAACGACGGCTGCGTTTCACCCCACTACCGGGGAGAACCGCTAAAACAAAACTCATGAATTCATTCTGAATTGAGTGCTATGCAGATGTCCCTTGGACGTCCTGACGAGGGTATCATTGAGAAATGCATGGAACGCTGCAACCGCATGACAGCGCGCGTGCGTTGTAGGAAGGAAACCGCTCCTAAAATATCACTCGATGCCCTCAGAACATGCCGTATGGTGTGGGAAGTTCGGCCCCCAACGGTCTGTAGCAGTAAAGGAATGATTCATCCTCCAAGGGAACTTTCATGGCGGCCGTAGCCCCAACCTTTAGTCAAAGGAAAGCCTGATTGTTTACATGAAACGCCGCTTTATCCAACAAAGTCGAGCAAGAAATGCAATTAGAAATGGCCAAAACGTAAAGCTAAATTGGTCCAAGCCCCAAGAGTAGTTCCTGCTGGACGTGATGTTATCTAGGGTTACCGAAGCAATTTTGTGTGGAGTGGCCGAGGCTCCAATGCAAAAAATGCCCTATAATCATGTGGCCATCGCACCATATCGTCATTTTACATGTATAGTACTCAAGGAAGTGATTGGTTGAGTACTGCTTGCTCACGCCTGCACCAGTAGACGGAAAAGCTGTCTCAATGCATATGGGAGCGATGGCGGCGTGAGGGATTCCGGCGCTATTCAGGCGTGAATGTGTTTCTGCCGCGGTGTCACCACTGTAAATAGGCGGAACTACAAATATATCTTTTTTTACTATTATTTTGACTGTTCTCATGCTTGCTAGCAAAATCGTCGAATGCTGGGGAATGCCCCTGGCGAGGCGTTGAGCTCTACTGCTTCCCACATGGCGGCCTTCAAAAAATATCATTGGTTATGGGAACGCTCGAGGTTGTGAGGACATACTTGATATCAGCTAGTTGGAGTAGCAGCACCCTGCAGCGTACTGCGTACGCTGTAGGCTGTGAGTAAGTGTAGAATCGTAACTGTAGCATCCTCTGCCTGAAGCGGCTAAGCGTACCTTCACATGCACACCAGCTCACTGTTGGGGGCCAGATAAGCGTGTACAATTGCCAACAGTGCCATTGCGTGCAGCAATTGGCGCATGGTTATGCTTGCATATGGGGTTGCCTTGCAACGCTAGTTGCAAGGCTGTTGCCCTAGTTTTGGCCGCACGGCGCTGCGGCATCCCGTGCCTGCCACAGGTTATTGTGGAACCCTTTGCCGTGCTCTTGTGCTGCGAGCCGTTTTTTTTATGGAGGGAGGCCAACCTAAACCGTAATACGAAGAGGCCGCCTCACCGCGGCGCGCAGCGGGATGTGTGTGGGCAGTTGAAGAGGGTGGAGGTTAACGGAAAACGTAAAGAAAGAGGAATTGTTCTCAGCAGCGGCACCGCGCTGACTGTTGTTAAACACAAAGGTGTAGATCACAGCGGGAAAATAGTTGACTCTTGAGAGTACATGGAGAGATATATGCAGTCCCCCGCACGCATGCAACGAGGTAGCTTTCCCCAAAGGTTTGTATACCGCTTGACTTTACTTGCCACTTTGCACGTCTACAGTTGCAATCGCCACCCTGAGTGAAGGAGGGCGCGTAGACATTCCTGAAGTAGGCTACCGTAAGAGATTCGCCTGAGTTGTCGAATTCCTGGGCATTTGCTCTCGTTTACGACGACCTCTGCGCTTCGTTGCGCGTGCACCCAAGATCTCAGTCTCTTTCACCCCCTTCATTTCGCAGAGGCGTTGCTGCTTTTTCTTGGGAAAGATCACGTTGAAACCAGTGATTCCTTGAGCCGAGAAAAAATGGTATGACCAGGGCTCAACGTTGGGCGTAAATCAAAACCGTGCAGCGTTTTATCCTAAGAATGACCAACGAAGGCCCTAAGGTAGCGAACGCATGGGGGAGTTTCTGCAAAAAGTTCAGAAAAGGGAACAGGTAGGGTGAAAAACCAAATAATCAGAGTTGGTTGGGCTGATAGTGACTGCTGAGCGCCGCTTGCTGGAGCCCCTTGCTTGGCGGTCTTTTCCTATGTGCTGTATTATGAACCACTCCACAGAAGAGAAGAAAATTAAAACAGTTCGCTCAATTTTTCTGGGTGTAGAGTTGCAGTTGCTGCACAAGTGTGCGGCTGGTGAATTCAGTTTGACCGTCTGCCTGTGGGCATTGTGCGGTGTTTTGTTGTGGCGCATATTGAGCTCCTTCATGAGTTCGCGCCAGGACGCACAAACAAAATTCAGGCCACTGTCAGTTATTACGCCATTCTCAAAATCATGAAGCATCCAAACTTTGCTAGTGATTGTTTGGGCCACTGACCTTGCTGTTGATGAACCCGACGTGGGGGTGAGGTGGGCGTATTTGCTGGGTTTGCTGGGTCTGTCCACGAAACCGTAAATGCTTTGACGGCCTATGACTGGCGGTGAATCCACTGTGAAGTATCGTAAAATATCCTTGCAGAACAGTCTAGGAGTCGAGAGACTCGCCAGGAGTCCGGGTGTGGGAGCACTCCACTTCGTTGGCGGCAAAGACGTCGGAGAAGTGAGGTGAAGTGGCTCTTCTGAAGGGGGCATCTTCCGCCACCAAAACGATCTACCTGCCTTTTCCACAGCTGCTTTGGCACAGCTAGAGCCCGCCAAAACGTGACCGTGTATTTTAATCAAAGCTTCTGCGCGAAGCAAAGCTGGAACGTATAGTCTGCAGAGACGACGCTCTGCGTGGTAACACAAGAGAACGCCGTCTATGCTTTAGTGTTTATTTCGTTGCCCATTGCTTAGCAAAGACCTCAGCCGTGTGAGCATGAAACACAGGAAGAATGCAATTTAGAAAGAAAGGGGGAATTATAACAGTCAAGCACACTTGCAGAATGCACGGCCTGTCCGGTAGAGCGTCGGGAGAGTAAGCCAGCGGCCAGGTTGGTAATACCCTTCACAAACTTGAGTATGAAATAGTAGTAGGTGAGCTGGCAAAGGCGCCGACCAACTCTTCTACCTTCGCCGGATCTTTTTCGACTCCTGCTGCTGATACGCTCCCAGAAGCTAACTGTTTGCATGGGAGACGAGCCCCTTTCTGCTTTTTCGAACCACTACAGCGTATGTGGCTGTTTTAGGGCATGCCGCAAGTTCCCTTGCGCACCCCGCTGAAAGCAAGAACGTCGTCAGTGTATGTGAGCATTCATCCCCCACCGATTGGGTCCACGAAGTCGTGGACCCAATCGGTGGGGGCCTATTTCTACAGTTTGGCAGCTGCATTCACTAGTCCAGGGGCTACAAAGGCGTACCCTACTTTGCAACTGGGGAATGTACCTGTCGTTGCAGTGTGCTGGGATCTGCACATATGCGATGTCGACGAAGTCTACTGATGTATGAATTGCACATTCCACCAAACGGCAAAGTAATTCGTCTATTCGGAAAATCAAATACTTTTGTTCCAAGTTGAGATTATTGAGGGGCTGGAAGTAGATGCGCATGCAGCACATCCGATCCTTTTTCTGCGATAGCGCCGAACTATCTCCCCAAAGCCCTAGTTGAAGGATGAGCTTTCCCGTTTCGTAATGCTCTGCCAGCTTGCTACACCATTCGTATTGAAGATGCAGGGATCAACTGAACCTTGTAACGACGCTTAGCTCTGCACCATGAGTGCGTTTGATTCCGTGCACTGGCAGTAGAGCTGGAGGTCGGGAGGCTGAGAGCTCCTGCCACATTCAATACATCTGGGAACTTTTCCTCCAACTGTGCCCACTTCTGCAGTTCTTCCTGTGCCAATAGGATCTTTTATCCAAAAATGCGTTATTCGTAATACCACAGAGTATATGCATTTCTCCGTTGTTTCCAGAAGCGCCTGTCCATTGCGTTGGAGCTTCCTCAATAATTTCTTCTTAGGACGCCGGACCGACCCCACTTCTCATTCCGCGAGGGTTCTTGTAGTACGCAGCACTACGATGTTATTCTGGAACAACCGATGCTGGGGGAACCAAAAAAGGATAATATTATGCATACATAAATGAAGCAAACGAGAAAACAATCTGAAGATAACCCCCTTGGCAAAGAGGGCCCTGTATGTAAATACGCAGTGCCGAGCCCCCCGGGGATAGTATAACGGGTGGCACCCCGATCATCCACATTCCAGGAGGAGCCAGCTGGCGGGCTTCTCGGAGCGGGGACAAAATGGACACCAGAATAATTTCGTCTACTATGGGTTTGATTGATTTATGCTTAGATCCTGGTTTCCTAGTCGTTTTTTGAGTCAGCAGTACGCACGTAGGAGTTAAGCTGCGCATAGCACACTACAAATGCTGCCGTACCTCCGAGACGTGCACGTTTATCATTGCTTACGGGCACGTAGAACACATGAGCATTGCTTGGGCGCAGCCTGCGCCCACTTCGTTGAGTTGCATATTGCATGCGCAGAACAATATCGTGGTAAACTTGTTCAACATAGAAATCCTTTACCGTGGTGATTCTATTCATTGTTGAGTCCGGCACGCACATTACATCCATAGTTTTACCGATTCTTGTGTCTTGTTTGCCATCGAGGAACGTATTCCAGGGATCCTGCCAGCGAAGACAGAAAGGTTGCAGCGCGCCGACGCACTTTCAGAGATCGGATCCACGTCTCAGCCTTTGGAAGTTCGTTGATATTTGCGCGAGTTTGAATATGCCCAACGGTGACAGGGGGTGGCTGTGCAGGTACAGTTTCAAGAGTTAAGCAGAGTCGCTGACAGTAGCCTGCTCGCGTTTCTCGTCATGTCCTGAGTGAGGCTAGCATTCCCATCCCCATTCCCGACAAGCTGCACATCCGGGTCATTTTTGAGTCAGTTTTCTCTCCTCTCAGGTAGTGCAGTGGAAATGGCCTTCTCCCTTCATTTGTTGTGCATTTTCTCCACCACCTCGGTGAGTTCAAACTTTCCAGTTCCTAGCTCTTTCTCCGACACCCATCCAGTTACCGGTTGTCTCTTTTTTGGGGAAGAGAGAACATCGGTCTGGGATCGCTTCCATGGTAGCCTGTTCCCTTGCCGGCCTGGAAAAAAACTACATCGGAGCTCATGTCGTATGGCTTCGGGGCGGGACTTCAGAGAGGCACTTTCACTGTTTAGATACAATGCACACTGCATTGCTTCATGCTGAACCAGGAAGGTGCCAATATCACACGTGGGCCTTCGGCTGCAATTTGAAGACGAACGCACGCCCCCAGCAAAAAAAGTAATTCATAAATCGCCAACTCGTCTCTGCTCTCGTCATACTTGGACGGCTGGCAAATGCAGGTGCAGCCTTCATGAAGTGGTTTCGCGGCAAGAGCATGTCCGGCAAGATGGATTGCAGGTATGGCGCTCGTCCCAGCGCGACGAGGCTCCCCAGCCCGTGGCATCCTGCTTACCAGGGCGCAGATCTGAAACACTGTTCACGAGAAGAAGAAAGTGCCTTACCTTCGACGAGCACTTTATGGCGAACATCTAAAATATTCCTCTTTTGGGGGAGCAGAGAACTTGTTGGTCTCGTTTTTTTGTTCGGTCGAGATACTTGAGAGAAGTGATGCTAACAAGCAACGAACTGCCATCCCCAGATTAAAGGTGCCCGCAGCACAAAGGCCTGGGGCAGGGAGAGCAAGAAGCCTGCAGCAAGCGTGCCTTGCTGCAACTCCTGCTGCAAAGCAGCCCCGCCTGCAAAGATACCCAAACAGGCTTTGTTTGATGCATGCACCAACTCCAAAGACAATTGTTATACAGTCACTTTCCCCTCCATAACCAGCCCCCATTCAAGTAGATATGCATGTGCCAACTCGGTAAAGACCATACTGTAGAGTGGTCCGCCTCACGGTGGTCGCCCACTTCCCACCTTGTTACAGGCTGCCTACATACGTCCCGGTAAGTTCTCAACAATTGTTCACAGTGTTTGTGCATGCACCAAAGGGCGCTTGGTTGTGCTTGCACGAGGAGTTGAATTACAGCACTGCCTGGAGCGACTCATTTCAGGCCGCCTCACTTGCCCCAGCCTCGGCGTTGTGTCGCTGCGTCCAGGATGCCTCCGAACTGGAGAGAAGTTCAGCTGTTTTTGTGAAAGCTTTATTTTATGTACTCTGTCTCTATTGAAGCTCATCACGGTCGTCCCCTACTAGGACCCTCGTGGAACACATTGAAGCAGGCCTAGCCACAAAGGAAGCGGATCCATGCAGCTTGCACAACCAACTGGCGAACAGGACAGGGTCACATGTTAATAAAGAATCAATATGATGAAGTGAAACATCAACAGAAAGTGACTAAACGTCTACAAAAACTCCCATGGCACCCCACCGATAGAGCTCACGGAGCACTCACATGCACGCTACAGGAAATCTCAATGAAACAAAGAGGGCGGCCCGCAAGGAGTCCAGTTCCACTCAAGAGTATAAACTACGGCACAGCAATATAATTTAAGGGATTTGGGGGAGCTCGAGAAAACTTGCCGAGTCTTCTATCAAAGGCGCGTTTGCGAGCTGTACAGCCTCAGCCAGCCCCGAGCACTGCAGGAAGCCCTTTTGATCCTCGTAGGCATGAGTCTTCTTCTATATATCAAGGTATTCTAGCGAGTAACTTCTCTTTGGCACTTTATTGACTTTTTATGCTCTTTGTGAGTGTCCAACACCACAGCCCATCTGCTGGGGCAGTTGGGGCTGGTTGGCGACGATCGAAACATGGCTGTTTCACCATCGCTTACATACAATTCACTTCCGAATAATTGCAACGATGCAATGGGATTCGCATAGTAAGCCCAGTTCGGCCTTCAGCATAGTGCCCATGGTGCGAAGCATGGGTTGCACGACTGCCAGAGGCCTCGCCCTGAACTTCAGGTTGCCACTTCAGCATCGATGGGTTTGCTCAAATCCAGCTGGGCGGAGCCGGCGCATAGCTGCGCAGACCTTTAGAGCTTGTTAGCTATTCGGTTGTCCGTGTGCGTCCGCAAGCACAGTGCGCCATACACCCGCAGGCCAGGAAAATGGCGTGGATTTGCGGGCTGCTGGCGGCCGTGAGGCTGCAATCCGTGCTGTTGATATTCCACGTATACAACACTATGGGAACGGGATTATTTGAGGAGGGGCTGAAGTCATACCCGGTTGTGGGTATCCCAACGGCCGACGCACGTCGGTCTGTTGGTCGTTCTTTTGACAGTCAAGCAGGTAAGCACAAAACCATATGGTTCCTCTCCACGCCTGACTGCTTATCTGTAAGCGGATACGCTAAGCCTCGGACGGATTTGGTTTGTCTGCGTTCTTTGCAGCTCCACGTGGTGCACTGCATAGCGAGCGAGTTCACCTCAATTCGGATGGAACACTCTCATTCGACTGTCCCAGATCTGTATGCGGCACCGACTTTTATTTTGGCAGGGCACTGCAGGAAGAGGAGAACCGTCAGTCTCACAAGAAAGGGGCCGATAAGAATGACACGTCACGAGCTTCCAACATGCGGGGGATGGACGAGTCGGTGGTCGCTGGTTCCTCTGATGGGGAGTCTGAAAATCCTGCAACAGAGCCTTCACTTAAGGATATTGTACACACTACCGATATGACATGGCTAGGGACGCATGCGAAGATGCACCAATTGGCCTTTATGAAGAACTCCACGTGCGGCGGGCTCTACTTTTCGCCCTCCCAGCTACCAATTGCAACTGCGGACCTTGCATGCTCCCTCTCCAACTTAGACATGAACTCAGTGTATTTAAAGAGATTTAATTCCCACAGGCTACGTTTGGGTCCAGGGGTGAAGCTGGTAGTCAGTATGAGCAGCACCTTTGCATTGAAGACGCGCGACAGGAATTGGAGACGGAAACTCGTGCGCTCGCCTAGCTTACGCTTACTTGTCTTTTTCGCTCAAACATTTGGACGGCTAAATCCAAATATCCTTAATACAAACCCTGGATTGGTCATCAACGAGATCTTGTTGAAGCGCAAGCACTTGTTCTATCCCCTTACAGAACTTTGTCTGTATGGTAAGGTCTTCGGGTGGGATGCGTCGCGAATCGTAGGTCGTACATATTACCTGTGCAAAATGTGGAGGTATTACAGGTGTTGCTTGTGTTTTCTGCCTGTCTGTTTTACAGTAAAGGTGTGCGAGACCGTACAGAGCTACCCGGAGCGACTGTTGCAAGGCTTTCCCGGACACGTCCATCCAGACCACCCTTCTTACGTACAACTCCCGATCTATTCGTACTTCAGGAAGGCCGGTGCGGAGGTGGCATTTCCGAAGGATGCTCCCACCATATTCCAGCCACGCATTTACGACGGGAACATACCTGTAGACCGCAAGTCATCATCTTCCAAATTTGACATTTTCGCCCTTGCAGCCGAGCTTATCTTTGGCTCAAAGGGAGAGACACAACGCCGAGCAGCTGAGTCGGGTTCAGCCGATCCAGTTCATAGTGCAGAGTTGGGGACGTCGCAGGAGAGCAGAATAGGTAAGCAGCAGAAGGACTTACAGAGTGAGGAGTTACAGAGCGAGCAACCACAATCACCGGAAGGCGAAAGCGATTCAGCTTCTGGAAAAAACGCCGGTGCAGCCACCGAGGAGTGGAAAAGAGAAACGTACCGCGCTTGGCATAGTTTGTGGGTATTAAATCTAGTAGCGTACGAGGCTAGCGACATTTGGGATTGGCTGAAGAACCACAAAGTCAGCAATTTCATGTTCCCCCCCTGGAAGGTTACCGATGTGGGTGTGCTTCGGACAGCGGAAGTGGGTGAGCAAAGCAATTTCGACAGTGGTGCTACATTGCAGCGGGAACGGCGTACAAAGGTGGTGCACTTTTGCTTGGTCCGCGCGAGACGGTCTTTCGTACTGTCAGCGTTTCACGAATTTTTTTGCCTGGGCGTTGTGATGCAGTCCCCATGAGGTGGCGTGACCTCTCGCCGAGATTTCATGTGGAGCCAAGTATGGAATCAAACTCAGAAGCACTTAATCAAGAAAATGTAACGCGCGGAAACGTTGGGGTCCACACTGGGCCGGGAGAGGGGAGGGGGACAGATGAGACAGGGGAGCTCTCTCCTCTTCGGACAAGACCTAGCGAAGGCATGGGGCCTGGCGTTTCTTCAAGGGCCTACGAGGACGCGATGATAGCCGATCATTCTCCAGAAAGGCCTCCAAGGGTCAACTCTTCAGAATTAGGCGAGGCGGGAAAACGACACACTGGCTCGTTTGGAGAAAAATTCTCCACACTGCTCTCTACAGCCAGATTTGAAGGGCAGGCCGATTCTAGTAAGCCACAGGGAACGTTTGATGTAGACGCTTCTAAAAGTGAAAAGGCCGGAGAAAGACAAGGGGAAGAGTTTCTGGCGGGACGCTTGAACAACACGGAAGGAGACGCGTTTAGCTCTTATGAGGTTCCTGAGGGCTGTATACCATATTTAACGGACATGTCGCTTTTTAAAAAATTCGGCTGGCCAAGTGGTCGCCTGGTATCTGCTGGACCGTCAGGAGGAAAAATGCTGGATGAGGCTAGAAGCACTGCGGAAGAGTGGGTTGATGGCTCTTGGAGACCGAAGATCATTGGCTCGAACGTCAAATGCCTCCCAGTTGTGCATCCTGACACGTGCGGTCTTACTGCATCCTTCACTCGTGTCCATGAATCGCCTTGGGTGTGGCGGCTTGAGAGGGATGAAAATGCAATGCCCTCACAACGAACAGACGACGTCGACTATGCTGACATTGTATGGATCTTCCGCGGCACTTTTGTTAGCAAGGTGAGCCGGGAGAGTTCTTGCTGGTGGGAGGCAGGAGAGTCTTCCAGCTTGCACAGCCACTACACAACACACGGAGGCAGGTAAAGAGGCGAATTTCAAGTGTATGCCCTGGCCAGTGTTCGTTTTGCATCTGCGCAGCAATGGCTCCTGAACGGTATGGGGGTCGCAGTACCGTACAAAACTTTGTCAAAGCGTGGGCATTTTCACTATGGACTCACATACCTATTTGACAAAGCGGTTCGTCCGTTGATGGAGAAGTATTTGGAGCGTCTTGAGAATCAAATCGTAGGCAGGAAGACTCCATTGGTAGTTGTTTTTTCAGGGCACTCCTTGGGTGCAGCCATCGCCGAAATGAGTTCATGGTACTTAGCAAAGCGAACTAAGACACTGGTGGATAAGAAGATGTTGCAGATCCGCACGGTAGCCTTTGGGAGTCCTTCGGTAAGGCCTTATCTAAATAAGGAAAATGCATTTGCCGAGATCATATTTGCTCTTTGCACCTAGAAGGTGGTTGTTTGCATCTTGCCGAACGCACTCTCTTTAGTGGGAAAAGCACTGCAGGGGGCAGGCCAGTGAGAAGTCACTGTCGCGGAAGCTGTGGGTCAATCTTGGTGGCCTGCCTTTGCAGTGGGGAGATAAAATAGCGTACGAAGACTTGCTGGCATCGGGCGTTAAGGCGCAAGAAATAAACATGGACATAGATCCTGTTGCTGTGCTGTTCGGCGAGGAAGAGTTGACGAAGCTGTCACACAAGAAACCATTCGTGATGAAGGTGAGCATTCACTTGCCACGTGCCAACGGCAAGTTGACCATACAGCTTCCCTGGGTGAAACGTCGCCATTGAACACAGGTAGCTATCAAATTCAAGTCAGCGGGATAATTTGTTCTACAACGGCGCCTGCACACCCTCCATTATATCTATGCAATGCGTCTTCAGTTGTATGTTGAAGACATGGACAAGGTAGAGGTTGCATCGACGGTTCCAGGTGCGCCGCCGTTCAGCGGGAGGATCTGGACAAGGCCTATCTACAGACCGACTCCGATCTTACAGCGGTTGGCTGCGATGTTTTTCGACCTGGAAAATGTCGACATGGTGCTACTGAACCCTATGCTTGCGCATTTTGTCGCATACACAGCATCCCTCACAATCATGGCAGGGTTACTGGAGGAAGCCTCGTTTGGTTCCGGAGTGGCAGCCCCTTTGGCTGATGCTGTTTTCCATCTTGTCGGACATCCGAGAAATGCGGCTCTGAAGAGAGCCTACGAGCAACTTAATTCAGTGTTGCGGAGGGTGGATGCAGATCGCGCAGCGGAAGAGGGTTCGTAGGGCCGACTGCTCGGGCCCTTGAAGACTCTGAATGTCTAAACCCATTATAGTTTAGCCTCTCCGCGTTTTGCCGAGGCATTTGGTACATATTATTGCCGTTGGACTCTCCTGCATATGCGGTTTGCATCCAGTGGGCGCTGGAAGTGGAAATGGTACTTGTCAAAGGGCTTCCCGTTGGTGAGAGCGACCACTGGTGCCAACTGGACATGAGGAAAAGGCTCAGCTGTTCTGAATGTGCAGTATGTGTGTGAATGTAGTTCGATGTAACACGAGCATGCTGCAGCCGAGAAGGCAGGCAGACGGCACAACGCATGCAACCAGGGACCGTTGGCAGCCACGACGTAGCCAGACAGGAGTATTTCTGTCTGCACGCTGTGACCTGCGTGCTTGCAGTACAAAGAACTGGCAGCAGCCCCTGGGGCACACATTTGTTGGCCTAAGCTGTGGATGCATTTGGCGAATGCGGATCGGGTGTTGACGTTCACAGTGAAAATTGCCTTTAAAACCGATTAGTGACCCCTTCACAGGGTTGTGCTTAGACCCATGGGATCCCTCAGTCGCGGGAAGTTGCACAGATGCCAAAAACATCTGGCGCCTGGAGGCGCGTACAAATTAGGACGCCATCCACTTTGCTAAATCGCTTGTAGCTTTCGCCAGCCAACGTCTCGCCGGCTGGATGAAGCTGTGCAAAATACTTCCCCTCTATGGCCTTATATAGCGTATTTTCCCCAAAGCGGAAATATGAATTAGACTGGAGTTGCTCAAAAAACGGTCAGGGCGACAGCGGTCGTCCAACAGTACCAAGTGTTGAAGGGTGAGCATGGAAGATTAACACTACGCCTCGAGAGGCATCCCCATATTTCCTACACGGGAAGCTCTACACAAGCCAAGGCTTGCCAAGACGGATAGAAGAATCGCTACTGCAGTTACAAGAGCTCTGCAGCAAGCTATTGTGGCTCATAGCCACCTGCTACGGTCCATGGCCATTTGCGCTGTTCAGATAGGCGCGCGTCAGGCATCAACACCACCATCTTCCCCTACATCATCGCCGTCATTTTCAACAAATTCCCAGCCCTGGGAACACAAATGATTGCACAGTGACGGGCATGCAAAACTACAACACAGGCTCACCACGTCAGCCGCAATGCGGTGACCCCGCTTGGGGTAAACGGCAGCTAAGAAGTACCTGTTGACGGAGGGTTGCCTCGTCAAATAGCTCGTCTTCGTCCCCATCTAAGGCACCTGAGTCGGGGTCCGGATGCAGCGCTGCCATTTCGCTCATGACTGTGAAAAGTCGTTGCAAACAGCTGCAGAAGTAGGGCCCACACATTCAACAGCGCCCATTACCAAGGTTGGTCCTCAAGCTCCCTACTTTGGGGCTCCGCTGGCTGTAGAACTATCCTACCTTGAGTCATCTGGGACGAATTTCAACTCAACCATTACGTCGTCATCCGCACTCTCTCCCGCCTCTTCAGGAGCCTCGACGGAGTCTGAGGTCGCGATTCCCACAGGATATCCATTGGACAGGTCTGGTAAAGCTTCCCCTTTGATTTGGCAGTACAGACATGGCCTTTCGCAAGCCTCTGACGGAACACATCACACGCGTCAACTAGTCTTTCTCCGCAAACGGCGCCCACCTGCCGAAGTCACCGCCCCGCGCATATCAGGCAAAAAAAGGCACTAGCTAGCGACGGAAGTGGGGATTCACGCACGGGGATCAGTTGAAAGCGCATGCAGCACAATACTAACGTAGTTCAGGGCAAAACTGGGCCCAGTATCGGAAAGCCAAGCCACACGTTGCGAAGTAACGAATAATTCGCCACGGCCTGCAGTTCATACACACCTCATAAGTCCACTTCAGTAATTCCCACATCGTCACTTTACCCGGGAGCGTCTAAGGTAGGCAAGGATCGCAGTTAGCCAGACTCCGCCAATATGCTGCCTACTCCCTAGCCCCACCTGCGTCCTTCCCGCAAATCAAAACTGAGGCGCTTGGGACCCGAAATCCTACGGCTTCATTATCTTGGAGTTCTAAGTCCCCCGAACTGGTTCGGTGGGGAGCACGCGCCATCGTTGTCCCCCTGCAGCAACTAGCCAGGATGCACTGGTATTAGGCTTATTATTCGTGAATATGCTACAGGGATAAAGTAAAAACGTATTCTAATTCCCCAAGGCCACTGCAGCCCCTATCTGCCCGTTGACGCCTAGAGCATGGCCGATGGGCGAAAAAGGCAGCCGCTGGGTCAACCCGCTGCTCTCAAGGGGGAGCAAAAGCACTTTTAGGGGGCGGATCGAAAGTTCTTCATGATTATTGTGGCGTTTAATGGCGATTCTTAGTCCTGTTGAAATTGGTTTGATACGAGCTGTGCTGCACTACCTTCGGTGCCGAGATAGGGCTTACAGGGCTGCAGGACAGTCTTGCCGGTAACCCTTTCCCCGCATAATTCATTGAGAACGAAGTTTCTTGTAGGAATGGGCGCGTGCATCTTCCAACTGCTGCACGCTTGTGCTCTTTCGCTCTTTGAGGGTGCCCGAAGATAGCAGCCATTGTTTGCCCCTACCTTTGTAGAGCCGTCCCTTGAAACCTCGTATTCTGCGACTATTACTCGCTGTATTTGAATTTTCCTTTGCCTCAGATGAACAGGGACTCCGGCATAGCTAGTGTATTCCCCTCTATATCTCTACAGAGGCTGCGCGGGTCCCCCGACGCTACGCATCTTGACTATTGGAGAATTGGCACTGTCTTTGCCTTTATTACAGGGGGTTCGCTCTTGAAACTGTAGTTTTCTGGTTACACACCCTTAAGTCCCCTCGGGTCTGACATCCTTGGGGGAACACGGCAACAACCACATTCATTTAGCACTATGGATTCTGAAGCTATCCAGTCAGTGTTAGCTCCGTGGGGAGTGGATTTTACATCCGAGGGCCTGGCGGCACTAAGACAATCTGGCGCTCGCAACCCAACGGAAGTCAGGGATTATGTTTTGTCTGCCGATTTGAGGCGTCTTCACTTGGCCCCACACCCCGCCGACTCGAGTAACTTTAGTGCACTCCACAGCAAATCCATGCAAGCTCCTCCAGAAGTAGCGGCATGGGCTGCTGCTGACGGACCTGCAACAAATTTCGGATCTCCAGCAACCAGTTACAGCCTCAAGAAACCACTACTTTGCATGGTTTTATCCTTCCAAGATGTGCGGTTGCCTACAAAAGACGTCGAGGAGGACTTTTCCGACGGTGCGCAGGGCATCAAAGGGAATCAGCGGCGGACGCTTTTACTGAGGCTTACGGACGGCCGTGGTATATCATTTAAAGCCATTGAGCTTCGATTTTGTCAGCAGCTGGATGCAGTGCCCTTACTGCCGGGCGTTAAATTGCTCTTGTTACCAGGGCTGGTTCTTTATCGTGGGATGGCTTTGCTGACTCCCCGAAACATAAATAACCTGGCAGGAGGAGCAAAACAGTTGCGGGAAGCATTTAACCTTAAAGAAGACGTACAAGAACGCCGGAAATTCGTTCAGCATATCCTAAAGGAGCATAGCCAACTACAGGAACGGATAAAAGCAGATAAGGCGGACACTGGCCCTCCAAAGTTCGTACCTTTCTCCTTTTCTGCTAAAGTTCAACATGTGGAGCTTAGTGCAGGCGCGAGTAAAGTGTTGCAACCTCAGACACCAGCGCAGCCCCGAGAGGAATTTAAACGTGAGGCAGTCTCACCGACACAGCCGCCAGAGGAAACGCCTTCAGAGCAGCAACCCCGTTCGCTTTTGATCAAGCCAGAGACTGCAGACCTGAAGCGGGACCGCCTTAGGCAACTCGAAAAAGTAGATCCCAACAGCTTGGGTGCTGGCAAAGCCATTTCTGAGCGAAAGAAAGGAAGGGGGGGCAGCGGCCGACGTGGGCGGCGCGAGCGCGATGAAGATCTTGCAGATTATATAAAGCCTTCAGGGGGGCCAGTGACCTGTAGTTTGTTCGATTTAATTAGAGCCGACGCAGAGCAAACAAACAGCACTGCTGCCACTGCTCTCCTATGCGCCAGCGAGCCATATGTGAATAGTAATTTGAATGAAACTGCTGCTCCCCAACCGTCTCCAGGCATAGGCAGACAAGTGAACTCGGGAGCCCGATCTGGGTCAACGAATTTTGACGAATGCCCAAGCTGGTCATCAGAGGTTCAACATTCCCGAGGGCGCTCTAGAGGAGGGGTATTCACGACCCGAGGGGGCCGCGCAGGTGGGAGGTGGAGAGGCAGGGCCGGGGGAGGAGGAAGGCCGTCAAGATAGCCAGCTACTCTTAGGGCCGCAAACTTCGACTTTGACAGTGCAGTGCACTGTTTTTTCACCCACCTTAAAATTCGTTTTTTTAGGTGTAAAGTAGAGATCGTATGCCTAATCCAACTCAGTTGACAAGCTCTTTGAACGGTGGTTGCAGATCCCACAGCACTAACTTCCAGCCACTTATTTCAATGCTCCTGCAGAAGCGAATCGAGATACAAAAGGTCTTAGATGGCTGTGCATGGATTATCTCTGCAGACGGTTCTGTGTGCCTCATGCAGCTGCCGGCTGTGCGAAATGGAAGAACCGTTGACTCACAATGAGTCGAGCTAACGGCAGGCGCATTTGTAAGCATAGCTGGAAGAACAATGCGCATCTTGCTCATTATTCATGGAAACGTCGCTCGCTGGAGCAGACCATACTGGCAAAGCTTCTCCGTTTGATGCTCATCAAAGGGGTTGGTGCAGAAGTTCCAGGTAGCTTGGCAGCTCAGCCTCTGATGCAGGTGAATGCACTAACTTGTAGCTGGAAAGACTTTGCACGTTTGTGCCAGGGGCTTGACACCAAGGGTGCAATTTAAATTGCAACTGATAACGAATTTTCTGTCACTGTTTCGCAAAGTCAATCCAGTCCAACCCCTAAGTCTGGTTTTGCCATTAACTGACGTTAGCGTTTATGCTTGGTCGGCACGATTGTTGCATCTGGTTGGCTTCTCCACTTGAAAGAAGTGCAAACACATCTGTTGCCGAATAAAGTTCATTATGCGTAATTGCATCTGGCTTTTTGCTACATCGGAACAAGGCGTTTGCTGTGGGCTAAATGGTGCCCTTGTGCTCGTTGAGCCGGGTCTGCAAATGGCGATGCCTGATGCCTGCCTTCGACTCCCGGTCACGTACTACACGCAGGTCATGTGGATCCTTTCCTTAGCTGTAACAGCACTTGCAAAGCTCCCCGGGTAGAACAAGGCGCTAGCTTGGCAGTCTGAGCGCGGAGCCACAGCCAAGTCTACACGGCAAACCGCTTAAATGCGATTCAAAGCTATTGTACAGGCAGATGCCGGGCCACCAAGTGAAAAGGTAAATTCATGTGATTGCTAGGAAGAACCTACACCATGCACTGCCAGCCAGTCTTGAGAACGTCGTAACTGGTTTTTCTGGCGCATTCGCAAATATTTCGGGCCGGTGCATCTCTCAACTAGGAGAGCGGTTGCATGGCACAGTATTAGCTATCATTCGTCCTTTGATTATGCAGTGTTTTGGAAAGGACTGTTCTGCTGATACCTAGTTAGTTTTACCCACGGGTTCCTTTAGGAGCAGTTCCTCTGTGCACAAAAGAATTGACCAACTTTGCAGCGGTCAGGTGTGGAGCATTGTGATGCAGAATGCCCATTCCGCAAGACTCTGCTCAACCATATTTCCTTGCTGTGTACCTAGTTTTGGAATGGAGAAATTGTTGCGCCAGGAACAGGTGAAGCGCTCTGGGACGCAAGATGAAGCTAGTTTGGTGTTATTCCAAGATAATGCAGATTAAGATTCTCCATCTCAGAATAGGTCCCCTTGCACCCCGTACAGCTAGAGCGGGTACTTTCTCACTGCTGTTCAAATTTAAGTGCATGGCACCGGATGATGGGTGTGAACGAGCCTTTGGTGGAGCACAAAGTGCACGTGTCACTCCTCAAGAGCGGCCTGTGCGCTGGTGGGTGAATAAACAGATGGGAACACGCTCCGCACGTCATCAGTGTTTCAGGATACTGCATTGCACCTCCCGTTGGAATGAAAGCACCATATATTGCTGGCTCAGCTCCGGCTTGAGGCAGTCGAAGCAGCCTTAGGGTGCGGGAGCCAGACGTGCCCTCGAGGTAGTTGTTTGTGCGCTTCAGAACTTTCTCGGGGGGCTGGTGAAGCAATACATCTGGACTTAGCGAAGGGGGCTCAAATTTAAGCGGGCCAAAGGAACGAATTTTGTTGTGTGGTGCCGCTTCACGTTGATGCAACAGTTCCTCGCGAGCAGCCGCCAAGAAGAGGTCATCTGGAACTATCTTTTTAGCAGGTGAAGACACAACGTTCCCAAAATGCTCCTGTGTGGGCCCTGAGATGTCGCACATAGAAAATTCAATTGCTGTTACTGGTGCAAAGGTGCCGAACTCCATTGTAACCGGGCTTCCGCAATTTCCGCAGCTCAAGTCGGCACCTAGGGGCACGGCTTCAGAGGTCAACAGAGGCACCATGGCCCCACACAAGCCACAGGCAGCCCTCGTCAAGGCTCCGCAAGCGTCACGAAGATTGCTGTCGGGCAACGCAGACACTCGGGCTGCTTTCACCGTCAACTCCAACTCCTCTCTTTTCTGGTATTCACGGCCTTTCAGAGAAAGGCGCCGGAGCTCCTTGCAGGCTGCAGCTGCTGTCTGCACGCGCACGAAGCAAGTGCGACGACATGAGAAGGATAGTACACTGCTGCTATTGCAAGCGCTCTGAAGGGAAGGCCACGTGAGAGTGGGGCTTTGCTGTTGAGATTTGACAGAGGATGAGATGATCCCTGAAGTAGTTAATTGATGATGAAATAGTCCTTGGAGTGGAGGCGAGAATTCTATTCAACAACAGACCTGAAAGTCACCCAGTTGGAGTGCCGCATCTGCCATCAGACGCAAGACGAGAAAGGACCGGATGCCCTTTACTCGCCGATGGACGCGAATCCCACAAAGGCGCAGGTGCGCCTGCACTTCATTAGCTTCAAGTGCACCCTGAGCGTCTTCCCACCATGTGGTTAGCCGCCAGTTCGGCAGAGTCCCCAAACTGGGTTCTGATCGTTTGGCGTGCAACTGTGGATGCATGCTTCCAGAGAGGGTGGCAGGCTTGCTGCCGTCCACTGCCTCAGCAAGCTTGAAATAAACGGCCTGCCCCAGAGGCGCCAGAGCATGTGACCATAAGAACGCACATGCCCTAAAAACTGCATGAGGTGGCATCGCAGCCCTCGGTGGCACAGGTGATGCCTGGCGCACTAGCACAAAGTAAACCCCGTAGATCTCAGAGAGACGCCGGAAGTAGCAAACGAGGAATCGACGGACACACAACGGCATCTTCTTGATAGCATTTCCACTGGGTGATTGATGACCCGCGATTGCTTCATCGCATGCCTTCACACCAGTGGAAGTTGCTAAATTAGCGAAAGCCTTGGCTATGGCCCAGCTCCGCCCCGCTGCCTGGCCATAGTATTTCTGCGAGACAGCGCCTTCGAGCAGGGCTATCTCCGTCCGTAAAGCCAGATCTTCCCTCCTTGCCCGGCGGAAAGCACTAATAGCCAACTCTGGCTGGTCGTGACGGAATAGCTCGTGACCCCATGGTACAAGAACATGATGAAGGATTTCTGGGTCCTGCAGCATCCCGTGTGAATACTCACATAAAGAAGCAAAACAGTAGCAGCCTCGCTAAGTAGGCTAGGTAAAGTAACCTACTTGTAAGCTACTTGAACTTGGGATTGCGAAGTTATGAGGGACGATAGTCACTGGCATGCGCCCATATGTTTTGGGCCGCCAGCTCAATGAGTTGCGCGCACTTGTCCTGCTCGCGAAAGAGCTTCTTCCCACCGTCCAGCCCGTATGAGAATCTCTAAGGTACCGACCTTGTCTCCAAGGGTCAGCAAGGCCTCCTTCGCAAAGTTGACGTGGCTAGTTTTTTCTAAAGCACGAGCAGCGCAGCGTAGTGCTGCGGAGACTTCACAATCTTTAAATGATTTCCTTTCGCTTTCCAGCGCTGGCTGATGCCCTTTCAAGCTTTCCTGTACTTGCTTCTGGCCTGATGATAGTAATTCACGAGTTCTACAGCTTCTTATGAGTTCGACTAGGCTGTGGGTATCCCCTATTTTTGCATGGGCTTGGCAGGCTAGCTGTAGTTGTCCCGTTGCGACATATAGGGCTGCAGCTTCTCTATATTCTCTTTCCAGGTCTAGTTTGTACTGTTCTATCTGCAAACACTGGCAAGCATATTTACCAGATATTGCAATTCTGTAGAGTCCTTATTGCACTAGGTACGAGGACCAATCCCAAGCGGAGAGAACTAAGCGATAAGCAGTCTTGCGAAAAAAATCTTTACTGCACCTGCTCTGGCGGGTTGGCAGGCTGCTTTGTGGTCCCCTTTTCGTTGCCTTCTTGTTTCTCCTCTTCCTTCAAATGCGACTTTACACCCGCTTCCGTGGTTGTCCCTATGGTTGAGACGATTTTGTGGGTCTGCTCAGCGACTTTAGCCCAGCGCCCTGCTTCCGTCCACCTGAAGTTCGGGACATCACACTCACCGTAAGCATGCCAGCCGCAGGTCAACAGATCTCGGAATGGGAACCCTGTGCTGCACTAAAAGCTACATCGTATTGGACGCGTACTTGCGCAAGTCAGCAAACATCTCAGAAGCCCGCTGAGGCAGGCCCGCAGTGGCCCACTCGTCTGCTGCAGCTGTGAAGTTCTGGAGATAGGCGTAAGCATAGGCTTTGCAAACATGTTGCCGCTGTGTTTGGCTCAAGCCCAACATTTTCAGCTCTAGCTGCATGTGGTTCAACATAGATATAGCCCTGAAGTCCCTTTGATGTTGAAATGATTTGCGCGAAAGGTGAAGGTCGCCTCGCCGCAAGCACTCGAGTGCCACCTGTTTCCAGTCGTCGCGAGTTGCGCCCACACACGCAAGCGAGTAGGCGTTTTCAAGTTTTCCTTTTTCCATAAGCTGCCTTAGGGTGGGTGTGTAATTAACCTTTAGCGTCAGCATTTCGCGGCAGTGCAGGCAAAATGCGTACGACCCCAGAAACCCAACAACGATCCCTTGACAAAGCTGTTGCTGAGGAGACAGAGATCCTAAGAACAAATTGTGGCACAGTTCACAGGAACGGAGCAAAGTGCGCTGTCTAGCTTTGCAGCCAACCAACAGGCACCACCTCACGCGTACTGCTTCTGTCAAGCATCCACCGGCATTGGTTTCTCCTGCTTGCCTGCTTTTATAAAAAGAGTTCTGCTGCTAGTAACCGCTAACAAGTCGTCCACTGACGCATGCCACGCAACAGAGGTACAGTCTTGCTGAGAATATGACCGAGTTTTGCTGGGCAGGTCGTAAATGCAAAGTTCCTTTTCCTCGTCTATGATTGCAAGCTTGTTGCGTTCGGCTGACACGTCCATGCAAACAATCCCAACACGATGGTGCAGAAGAGGCAATGGCAGCTCCTGGTGTACGTAAACGTAGAGTGCCTCTCCATTTTTAAGGCCAATTAACAGCGCCTCTGCCCCAGGTAGGCCTCCAATCACTCTTATGTAACGAACGGAAGCCTTTAGCGTCCACTCCCTTTGTTCACTCCCTAAGGCAGTGATACACGCAGGAGTCTAGCACTGCATATGACTTAAGGCACGCATCAACCTAGAGGAAGCCGCATATAAAGAAAATTCATATCACTTCATGGTAACTGCCTGCTCGACCCTGGAATGGCATAGCGAGCCAGAAAATTTGAGGCGCTTGAGCCTTCTGTAGTGCAGGCTATAAAAGCGTCTGCCTGCCTGCATAAGTGTTGCAGTCTACCTTCAAACTCTTGGAGCTTCAGAGTGTTGCCTCTACACAGGACGACGGACTTTGCCGTCAAAAGCATCAGCGAACAATCAAATGACCCTGTAAGGCGGCGGACTTCGCGATACCCCAGAGCGCCGGAATCCTCCGCGGAAACCTCTGCTATGATGACGCAGTCCCTCACCTGGACAGCCAGCAGGAGTTTATAGACTGCTATCTTGTAAACAAGCTCATCAAACCTGCGCATGCCACGGCATACACAGTAGCAGATGGGGATTTTTGCTTTCTCAGCAAAAATCCCCATCTGCTACTGTGTAT